TGTGGTGGCAAACGCCTGTAATCCCAGCTACTGGGGAGGCTGAGGCAGGAGAATCCCTTGAACCTGGGAGGTGGAGGCTGAAGTGAGCCAGGATTGCACCACTGCACTTCAGCCAGAGCAACAGATCAAGACTCCACTTCAAATAATAAAATAATAACAACAACAACAAGTAAAAAGCCAAGTTGGCCAGGCCTGATGGCTCATGGCTGTAATCTCAATGTTTTGGGAAGCTGAGGTGGGCAAATCACCGTAGCTCGGAAGTTCCAGGGTGGTCTGGAACTTCTGGAGTGAGCCACCATGACTGGTGGACTTTTTTAAAATTGAGCCAACAAAGTCCTTGGTTTTACTTATTCCAGATGGGTTTTTCTGTTGCTCACAACTTGAAGGACCTAGAATAAATAAGGAAATAAAAAGTTCTAAATCCCCAATTATTTATTTGTCCTTGATGAAAGTTGCAACTAGAGATCAAACTTTTAATCATAGGAACTTGAGAAAATAAAAAACTTCTATTGGCACAATTGCTTTGAGGATACAAAGCACTAAGCTATCCAGTAACATTTTGGCATAAGAAAACAAGCTGGAAAGACCTTCAACAACACCAAGGATACAAATATTATTAGCAGGTTGGGGAAATTATATCCTGATTTAAACATTGTGTATCTGATGATCATGAATGGATTTCCACTTGCTAGAAGTTCTCCTGGTGCATCCTGATTTGTTACCTAATGGTTTATGGTTCTACAACTCCCGCCTTTGAGCCTATATACTTGCTTTATTCATTTGTTGTGGGAAACTGAATTCAAATTCACTTATCACCCTTGGAGTAGTGAAACCAGGAACTATTATGTAACTTCACTGATCCTGTCATAATTGACTAAGCTGGCATAAAAGATTGGATCCTTTTAGAGATAGGAAAAATACTTTTGTTCTTGCATATGTTATGCAAGTAGAAACAATTATAAGATAGTGAGATTTATTTTTACCTTTTCCATTGACTTCTTTGGTCTTGCCTTCCATTTAACTATATGAGGAGCTTAAGACAGGTTATAATCATCCTAACTTTAGAGACAAGAAAAAGGTAAAGAGAGAGAGAGCAGGACTCTAGTGGCAAAACAGAACCGACTGAACGCAATGCTTTGGTAATTAACAAGAACTCATAACCTTGCCAGCCTGACCTGGTCTCTCCGCCTTGGCTCCCAGGCAGGTATTGCTCCCTGAATGTAATTGAAAGTAATGAAGCTACATGTGTCTAAACTCTCAATTAATTGTTCTGTGAATTCCAAGTCAATCTGGAAGATGTTAGTGTATTTTGTTATTCCTAATGAGACTCCCCTATTAAGTAATTCAAGGTAATTTACATCTTGTATACAGTTTAGCTTCACTGCATTTCCTTCGGTGGTAATAAATAACTACTGAATACATATAATGACCATGGAAGGGCTGGTGGTATTATTGAGCATCCACACTTCATTGCTTTTTCGATGTACTTTGTTTTTTAATGCTATACGAATGTATGTTTTTGTTTGGTATTATGATCACTAAAGGCTGTTTTCATATATCAGATTATGAGAAGGATCAGTCTGTTAAACTGACCACATTAAACACAATGTTGTGAATAACTTATGCTAATGTGGTAGGGCTGTATTTTAGGAATGCATTTAAGGATGCAATCTCTCAGCAGAAAAAACAGTCAGTAAAAAATATGAGGCTGCTTAATGCTACTGTCAGTAAATTGTGCAGCAGTAATCAGTAGCCTCATAAGAAACTTATGGCTATGGCTGGGCACAGTGGCTCACACCTGTAAACTCAGCACTTTGGGAGGTGGGCAGATCACTTGAAGTCAGGAGTTTGAGACCAGCCTGACCAACATGGTGAAATCCCGTCTCTACTAAAAATACAAAAAAAAAAAAAGGAAGAAAGAAATTTATGGCCAGCTAAAACCAGATAGAGATTACTCATCTCTATTTCAGTGTTTCTAAAGGTGTTCTGCATCCTGAAGCAAGCAGAGTTGGTTGTCTTACAACCATTTTGGGTATTTGTGACTTGGAAGTGAGGCACCAGTGCTCACAGGGCATGCTTTATGAACTTACAGTGGCTGGTTATGCTGGAAGGAAGATAGGAAGAAAACAGGGAGCAGGCTAATTCCAGATGCCCTGTGGGAAGACAGGCCCTTCTCTCACATGGTTGTGATTCGCTGCTGTTGTGGTTTGGTGACGACCGGTTCAAAGATGCCAAAGAGAACTCTGGCCTGAAGCAGTGCTTCTCAAAGTGTGGTTGGTTTCTAGTGCATGCAGGGACTCTGGTTCATTGAGATAAAATACACATGCAATTTACTATTTTTACAATTTTAAAGTGTACAATTCAGTGACATTTACTAAATTCAAAATTTTGTACAACCATCTCCACTATCTCATTCCAGAACATTTCATTGGCCCACAGGAAACTCCCATGCCCATTAAGCAGTTACTTTCCAACACTCCCAACCCCCATGCCTTAGAACCACCAATCTGCTTTCTGTCTCTATAGATTCTAGACATTTCACATAATGGAATCATACAACATGTGGCCCTTTTTGTCTTTCACTTAGCACAATGTTTTCACGTTTCATCCATATTTTAACAAATATCAGTACTTACTTTTTATGACCAAATAATTTGTTGTACCACATTTTTTTATCCATTCATCAGGTGGCATGTATTTTAGTTGTTTCTGCCTTTTGGCTATTGTGAATAGTGCTGCTGTGAATATTCATATATAAGTTTTTGTTTGAACACTTGCTTTTAATTCTTTTGGATAGAAAGTATAGGCATTAATCTCTGCTCACTCAAAAGGAGGTGACCAAATATCCTAAATTCTTCAACCATTCAACAAATATTTACTGAAAACCTACTCTATAGCTGCCTAGAACGCCAAGCCCTGGGAATACAAACTGCAATGAATAAGACAGGCATCATCCCTGTCCTCCTTGGGAATAACACAAAATTCAATAAGTGAGTAAAACACAGACTTGACAGCATTTAGGATTAGGATTCCTTTTCTATATGCTATTAAAGGAAAGTAAAAGCTGGTCACAGAGCACCTGGGCAAGATGCTCTAACTGGATGCTTTCAGATGAAACCAGCAAACACAACTAAGCACAGTCACATCTGTCACCTTACATCATAAGCCTCAAGTAGGGAGGTTCCCAAGTGGGTCCGGTGGGCAGCTCAACATCATCAAGGATCTAGGCTTTCTCCATCCTTCTGCTCTGCAATCCTCCTGGCCACACTAAGGAACAGCCACCCCAGACATCATGTTCTCTCATGGAACAAGGACTAAGAAACAGAAGTGGGGGTTGGGAGTGTTGGGAAGTAACTGCTTAATGGGCATGGAGTTTCCTGTGGGCCAATAAAATGCTCTGGAATGAGATAGTGGAGATGGTTGTACAAAATTGTGAATTTAGTAAATGTCACTGAATTATACACTTTAAAATTGTAAAAATAGTAAATTGCATGTGTAGTTTATCTCAATGAACCAGAATCCCTACATGCACTAGAAACCAACCACACTTTGAGAAGCACTGCTTCAGGCCAGAGTTCTCTTTGGCATCTTTGAACTGGTCATCACCAAACTACAACAGCAAGATTCCTTCTCAACCCCTTCTTAGGTGCAAGAGAAACTTTCCCAGAATACTTCTCAGATCTGTTCTGCCCAAATTGCCCCACAGCCTATTCCTAAACCAGTTACTGAGAAGGAATTGGAATCAGGTGCTATGAATAATTTATGATTAATCAAGTTGGAGGCTGGAAGGGGCCGCTTCCCCTCGGGAATATGATGCCTGAACAAAATAAAGGCTCTGGAAAAATGTAGGAGGGAAAAAGAATGGCTGTAGGATAGGCAGCCAAGCGGTCTGCATCAGTGCCCATGCTAGATTTCCTGGAGGAAGTCCAGTCCAGCGTTCTCTAAACTCCAGGCCTCAACTGAGTATCTCGAAAAAAAACAAATATCCAAACCTCAACGTGTCCAAGACTGAATTCATCATTCTCATGAAAGTAGTCTCTTCCAGTGGTGACTAATACTACCACCAGATGCTGGAGCCAGGAAAATAAGAGCCACCATACCTTCTTCTTCCTCATCACTACATCTAGCTCATCACCAAGTCTCTGAATCCGTCCACTCTCTTCACCTCCACCGCCACCATCCTAATCCAAGTCACTATCAGCAATTCCCTGGAGCTTTGCAACAATCATGTTTGGCTTCCCTGCCTCCATTTGTATTTCTCTCCAAACTATTAGTTCACAGTGCAGGTCGGGTGGCCTTTTCAAACACAAATCTGCTCATGTTCAAAACTTGCTTCCCACTGCTCTTAGAATAGGGACGACTTTGAGCTTGAATAGGCTGTGCCCACCTCGAGACTGCTGCACTTGCTGTTCCTCTTGCGGCCCCTTGTCACCCCTCTATCTCGGCTTAACTGTCACTTGCCAATTAGGTCAGGTCCCTCTGCTGCAAGCCCGTAGAGAGCTCTGCGCCTGTCCTTCAGGGCACTTTTTCTCCATCTACAGACTCAGACCTGTGCAAACACGGAGCTACTATTTCCCACAGCATAACGCCTCGCACACAGTAAGTGCGCAATATGTAGCTGTTGAGCGGCTAAATGTATACATAACCTCAAAGCAGAGTGGCCGATAACAAATATGGACGCAGTCCGGGGAGAACACACACGCAGCCGAACCCCCACCACCAGTCCGCACCGCCGGGACAGCTGCGGAGTCTCCGGCCAGTGGCTCCACCCCTGGGCCCCGCCCCTCCCTGCTGAGCGGAGGGGGCGGGGCTCAGGTCGCGTGACTTAACGGCAGCCGGTAGGTGATTGAGCCTCCAGGCGAGCCGGCTAGGAAAGGGGGCGTCTCCCCGCGCGCTGATTGGCTGTCGGGCGAGGCGTGGCAGGCGGGGGCGGGCTTAACTGTCACTTGCCAGTTAAGTAGGGCCGGGAGGGCGGCGGCGGCTGAGCGGGCAGTGTGGGTCCTTGCTGCTGGCTTCGCTGAGACGCGCTCGCGTGGGCTGTCCGCCCGGCCCGCTGTGGTATGAAGGGCGCTGTGGGGAGCCCCGTGGCCGCTGCCGGTGCCGTGATGCAGGAGAGTTTCGGCTGCGTGGTGGCCAACCGCTTCCATCAGCTGCCGGACGACGAGTCGGACCCGTTAGACATCCTGCGCGAGGCCGAGCGCCAGCAGCAGCTGCAGCGCAAGAGGCGCGAGGAGGCGGCGGGGCGGCCGGAGGGAGTCGCAGAAGGAGCGCAAGACCCTCCCGGCGCCTGGAGCGCAGGGGCCCGACAGCCCTGGGGGTGGCCTGCAGGCGCCGGGTACGCGGGGAGAACGGGGGAGCGGGCCACGGCGCGCCCCGCTGTGAGGCTGGGGTCCCGCGGCCGGTTCCCGGAGGCGGGGCAGGGGAAGACCCGGGAGAGTTGAGGGTCCTGGTGGCCGCCGAAGGTAGGAGGAGAGGGGCGGGGGTCATACCCCTTCCAGCCCTCACCAGCCAGATGCAGGGCTCGGGGGAAAGCGCAGGCTTGGCGTGGGGTGGAGCCTCTAAACCCTGGCACTGAGCCTTTACGGCAAGTTGGACAAAGTTGAGGGAGGTTGCTGGGGTGGCGTGGGGGTGGCGAACGCTGAGGTCGTTACCCCGGGGCGCCCACATCCAAGCTGGCGGGGACCTTCTTCATCCTCCAGCCCAGCCTCTGCAGGATTGAGGTCGGAGCCACCCGAACTCGCGGTAGGGAGGAGGAGGGCGCCCGGCCCCGGGGCTGGGGGTCTCTGTGATGCGGGAGGCCTGGGCGACCGCGGGGCGGCCTGTGACGTCTGGGCCCGGGCAGGCGGGCGGGGGTCCCTGGCGCGGTCCGACCTGGCGCCTTCGCCCCTTCCCCGTCCGGTAGCGTCCGTCAGGCAGCGGGGCATCGTATTTCATTACTTCGTGTGGTGTTGATGGGATGTGGAACTTATAAATAACTTAAGGCTGCTTTAAGAAAAGCGTTTTTAACCTTTCCATCAAGAATATTCGGAGTTCCCCACTCGCTGTTGAGCAAGCAAAACCAGTGCGCAGCGTGGTGTCCTGCTGCCTGCGGTCGGGGAGGGTGCTTGAGAGTTCATTCTCTCACCTGTCTAGCAATCTACATAAACCCTTGAGTGAGCCTTGCTCAATAAGTTCATTCTTGAAGTCATGAGAGGTCGTTTCAGTTTTGGTTTTCCTAGCCTTTTAGTATTATGTTTGTTGAACCAAAGCTCTACTTTATTTTGTGGGAAATCTTACTGTAATTTTTATTGTATTCTGTTTCTTTACATGGGTTTGGTTTAGATGAATGCATGTGCCAGCCTTTTATTGGAAAGGTTAGTGAAATGCAGTGCTTGCATTCTCCACTTGGAGCTGCTGATCCAGCACAGAGAAACAAGCCCAATTCGTGGCAGTGTTGATCTCTTAGTACTAAATTGTGAGGAAAAAATTGGATGCTGATTATCTTTGTTGTGGGAGGTTTGGGAGGGAGAATGAGATGTTTGCCTGAAACTGATAATTATTCTAATTATCTTTGTTTTGGGGGGTTTGGGAGGGAAAATGAAATGTTTACTTGATATTGATAATTATTCTAATAAGTTGCCAGTTGTATTTAACAGTTTTCAGTTTATACTGTTGGAAAAGGCTTTTACATGGTGTACAGTAGATGTCCTATTTTAAGTTTGATGAATTACGAATTTAATTGACACAATTAAAAAATAACTTGGAGGGGCTGGGTGCAGTGGCTCACACCTGTAATCCCAGCACTTTGGAGGCTGAGGCCGGCGGATCATGAGGTCAGGAGTTCGAGACCAGCCTGATCAACATGGTGAAACTCCCTCTACTAAAAATACAAAAATTAGCCGGGCGTGGTGGCAGGTGCCTGTAATCCCAGCTACTGGGGAGCCTGAGGCAAGAGAATAGCTTGAACCCAGAAGGCGGAGGTTGTAGTGAGCTGAGATTGTGCCACTGTACTCCAGCCTGGGTGACAGAGTGACACGCCATCTCAAAAAAACAAAAAGCAAAAAACCCGAAACAACAACAACAAAATTGGAGGAAGCAGAAAGGTGGGATAAGCACCTAAGTAATTGTGTAGTTGAGTGAAGATATTAAAAGATATTTTTAAAACTGTAGGTTGGAAATAGGAAATCTGAAACTGTGTTAAAATAACTCTTTTTACACTGAGGTAAAAATATGGAAAAGTATTGTTACTGTTGACAAATTTTCTGATGAGTGTTATGTCATGACCTATTATAATTTTCAACTTGTTAGATAATTAACTTTCATAGTGGCTTTTTCTACCTTACATTTTGAACGCCTTTTCCAATTCTGAACGCTTAATGCATGTGCACCCAGACCTGATGTTGCTCACTTCTGGGCACCTGGGGACAAGTATCAGTGATGGTGGGGGCTGTATGATGGCTCATGCCTGTTATCCAGCATTGGGAGGCTAGGTGGGAGGATCACTTGAGCTCAGGGGTTCAAGACTAGACTGGGCAACAAAATAAGACCTATCTCTACCAAAAAAAAAAAAAAAATTAGCTGGGTGTGATGGTGCATGCCTATGGTCTGAATCTGAGCTACTCAAGAGGCTGAGGTAGGAGTATCACTTGACTCCCAGGGGTCAAGGCTGCAGTGAGCTATTATCATACCACTGCACTCCAGCCTGGGTGACAGACCCTGTCAAAAAAAAAAGTGTCATTATCTGATATGTCCTCAATAAAAGCATAATGCTCTGCTGAGTGCAGTGGCTCATGTGTGTAATCCTAACACTCTGGGAGGTTGAGGCAGGTGAATCACCTGAGGTCATTCAAGACCAGCCTGGCCAACATGGCGAAATCCCGTCTCTAGTAAAGATACAGAAAAATTAGTCAAGCATGGTGGCATCGGCCTGTAATCCCAGCTACCTAGGAGGCTTGAGAATTGCTTGAAACCAGGTATCGGAGGTTGCAGTGAGCTGAGATTGTGCCACTGCACTCTAGCCTGGCAGCCTGGATGACAGAGTGAGAATGTCTCAAAAAAAAAAAAAAGGGCAGCTGAGTGTGGTAGCTCATGCCTCAGTACTTTGGGAGGCCAAGATGGGTGGATCACCTGAGGTCAGGAGTGCAAGACCAGCCTGGCCAACATGGTGAATCCCTGTCTTTACTAAAAATGCAAGAAACTTAGCTGAACGTGGTGGCAGGCACCTGCAATCCCAGCTACTCAGGAGGCTGAGAAGGTAGAATCACTCGAACCTGAGAGTTGGAGGTTGCGGTGAGCCAAGATCATGCCACTGCACTCCAGCCTGGGTGATAGAGTGAGACTCTGTCTCAAAAAAAAAATAAAGCTGGGTGCGGGAGCTCATGCCTGTAATCCCAGTACTTTGGGAGGCCAAGGCAGGCAGGTCACTTGAGGTGAGGAGTTCGAGACCAGCCTGGCCAACATGGTGAAACCCCATCTCTACTAAAAATACAAAACTTAGCTGGGCATGGTGGCACATGCCTGTAATTCCAGCTACTCAGGAGGTGAGGCATGGAGAATTGCTTGAACCCGGGAGGCAGAGGTTACAGTGAGCTGAGATCATGCCACTGTACTCCAGCCTGGGCGACAAGAGTGATACCCTGTCTCAAAAAAGATAAATAAATAAAGCGTTATGCTCTATTTATGATAACATCTTGTCTATATCCTAAACATATCACAAGCTCAGATTGTGACCTCACTACAGTATACAAATTGAATTTAAATATTTCTAGGTTATGGGACATTAAAATTATAGTATGTTGAATTTAGATCTTTTGGGCGACTTTTCACTCTTGAAAAAAATACCTTGTTGACAAGGAATAAATTATACAATTTATGTTAGTGATGTCATTAACATGATTTTTGCTTTAAAATGAGACCAATTGGCCGGGCGCAGTCGCTCACGCCTGTGATTCCAGCACTTTGGGAGGCCGAGGCAGGCAGATCATAAGGTCAAGAGATCGACACCATCCTGGCCAACATGGTAAAACCCCGTCTCTACTGAAAAATACAAAAGTTAGCTGGGCGTGGTAGCGCGCCTGTAGTCCCAGCTATTCGGGAGGCTGAGGCAGGAGAATTGCTTGAACCCGGGAGGTGGAGGTTGCAGTGAGCCAGGATTGCGCCACGGCACTCCAGCCTGGCGCCTGGTAACAGAGCAAGACTCTATCTCCTCCCCCCCCCAAAAAAAAAATGAGACCAATTGAGATTTCTGTACCCAGATGATAAAGTTTTGGTAGAAAATATTAAATGGGAAAATAAAGGCTGGACAGAGTGGCTCATACCTGTAATCCCAGCACTTTGGGAGGCTGAGGCAGGTGGGTCACAAGGTCAAGAGATAGAGACCATCCTGACAAACATGGTGAAACCCTGTCTCTACTAAAAATATTTTTAAAAATTAACCAGGTGTGGTGGTACGTGCCTATAGTCCCAGTTACTCGGGAGGCTAAAGCAGGAGAATTGCTTGAAACTGGAAAACGGAAGTTGCAGTGAGCCGGATCGCGCCACTGCACTCAGCCTGGTGATAGAGCGAGACTCCATCTCAAAAAAAAAAAAAGGGAAAATAGAAAAGCATGTATGCACATATATTCCTTAAGGTCTTTTCTAAGTGGGAGAGAAGTCTAATAGTTAAAAAAATATATCCATGGCCAGCCATGGTAGCCCATGCCTATAATCCCAGAACTTTGGGATGCCAAGGTGGGCAGATCATCTGAGGTCAGGAGTTGGAGACCAGCCTGGCCAACATGGTGAAACCCTGTCTCTACTAAACATACAAAAAAATTAGCCAGGCATGGTGACATGCTCTTATAATCCCAGGAGACTGAGGCAGGAACATCGCTGGAACCCAGGAGGCAGAGGCTGCAGTGAGCCAAGATCACGCCACTGCACTCCAGCCTAGACGACAGAGCAAGACTGTGTCTCCAAAAAAAAAAAAAAAAATCCATTAACTTGAATAAATGTAATATTTTATAGTTATGCAACTAATGTGAAGAGTAATTTGTACTAAGAAAAACCGAAACCACTATTGTAAAAATTGCACATAGTGAGATCTTTTAAATTTATACAAAAAAAGATAGACTTTTGAAGATTAAAGAGGTGAGAAAGTTCTCCACAATGTATTTACCAAGTATCAGATGGCTTCAAACTTAGACTTTGCTTCAGATGTTTAAAGCATTAAAACCAGAGGGGAGTAAAGCAAGGCCAGAGGAAAAGACCAGAGTCTCTGGTTCCAGCATGGCATCTAAGTGCCAGACTCTCAGGGGACAAAAGAGATGTCCTCAAGTATTGGCTGACTCTCAGGCAAGTTGGCAAATAGCAGGTTTTGATTCATATTCAAGAAGTTATAATTGCAAGTCTATATATCTCATAGAATAGCAGGAAAATCTGTTTTCAAAATAAAAATATAAACACTACAAACTTTAAAAACAAAAACCTTGGCCAGGCACGGTGGCTCATCCATACAATCCCAGTAATTTCAGGAGGCTGAGGTGAGATGTTTAAAGCATCCATGTAATTTCAGGAGGCTGAGGTGGGTGAATTGCTAGAAGCTGGGAGTTTGAGACCAGCCTGGCCAACATGGTGAAACCCTGTCTCTACTAAGAATACAAAAATGAGCTGGATGTGGTGGTGCATGCCTGTGATCCCAGCTTCTCGGGAGGCTGAGGCACAGAATTGCTTGAGCCCGGGAGGCAGAGGTTGCAGTGAGATGAGATTGCACAGTGCACTGCACTCCAGCCTATATTACAGAGTGAGACTCTGTCTCAAATATAAACAAATAAATAAAAACAAAAACCTTAGTAGTATGCCAGTGATAAGCCATAGTTGCCGTGGTTTTATGTGCAGTTGGGATTCTAAAAGTACAGTCTGAAATGTAGGATATTCTTTCATTTTCTAGATAAGGCTTACATACTGTGTTTTTGTCAAGCTGCTTTTGTGAACTGTAGCTTGTTTAGTAAAATATACCCACGACTGTCACAGCTTTTGGGAGGTGCCTGTAATTATAGGTGAGCTTAGTTTGTCATATACTTTCTAGGATATAGGGAAAGCATGATTTAATAGTAATGTTCTATTAAAAAGTAGTAGACTGTGGGCAGTTGTAGTATCAACAACTTAAAATTTACAAGTACCTGTAAAGTTTAATACTCTCGCAGACGTTGTCTTCCAGCTCTCTGCTTTGATTTTCTGGTAGGCCAGAAGCGGACTCCTAGAAGAGGGGAGCAGCAAGGATGAAATGATAGCTGTGGGCCCGAGGGGACGCTTGAAAGAGCCGAGCAGAGACCCTACAGGGAATACCGACCCTATGAGACCGAGAGGCAGGTGGACTTCACAGCTGAGAAGTTTGTAGATGAAAAGTCTGTGCTGCAGTTCTTGGCAAGGTGGGTGGGGAACCGGAAAGGTTTTCAAAAAATGCTACTTCTACTGGCCACTGCTTTTTGTGGTGCCAGTCCTAGGAATGTTTTCCTAATTTATGTGCAGTTCATGTTAACTTAGATGATGGGAGGGATCTTCCCTTTGCCTCATAGATGACTTTACATCTTGGTTCAGAAAATGATTGTACAATTAAAAGTGAATTGCTTATCGGTAACTGTCAAGAGCACTTGTAAAAAGAAATTACACAGGAGTGTGTTGAACTGGTTAAGTTTTCTTTTGAAGTTCTAGATATAATTTTGGACTAGGGATATAATTATGGTTTTGATTTAGTATTACTAATTTAGACTGCTCAATGTATTGAAATAAATTCCTAGCTCCGCGGTCAGGTCAATAGGCTGCCATGATGAGATTTGAAGAAAAGTCTGTCTGATGTGTAATACCAATTTCTGGCGGGCATGTTGAAACAAAAACAGCATTTGGTTTTCTCTACATCCCTTTCATCCTTTGCCCCCAAGCCCAGGGAGTTGTCGGTGGGGGGGGGATTTTGTGATGTCAAAGCCATCCTAGGACTGCCATTGGCTGGGACACTGTATCATCAAACAAAGCTCAAGGGTGTGGCTTTGCCTCGTCACCAGGAGGGTATATATAGGGCGAGCAGGAGCTCTGGGACACCCCACTGGGAAGTTTCTATACAGCCGTGCAAGCCTACCCTCTTGGAAAGCATAGTATAGACATTCTGTAACATGGAACATCTAAAGACAAGGAGTACCAGTGGGGGAAAGAGGAAGAGCCCCTGTGAGATAAAAAACAACGAAAATAACAAGGTAAGATTGTTAGGTTTTAAAGGGAAGGTGAGGGTAAAAGATAGACGCACAGATAGGGGGCGGCACTCAATAAGAAAACTAGTTACTCAGTTTTACCAGAATATTTTAGACCACTTTTCAGTTCTTCTACGTCTATAGTGAGATTCAATGGAATCCCCTCTAGGCACAGACTGGTCTTTCATTATACAAACTATTCAACACCCCACTTCACCCACTCTTTCCTGGTTATCCCTCAGTGCCCTACCCCTATCTTGGAGTGGGACATATTAAGTAAATTCCAGGCCTCCATGTAATGTGGTTCCTACAATTCTACCCCTTTTTATTTTAATACCAGAGCCCACAACTGCTTACAGGCTGGGGTACTTACGGGTATGGATGGGAGGGATCTGGGCAGTATGGTTTGCTGACCGGCAGGTTATTTATGAGATGTGCTTATGATCAGGTGGTTTGGCCCTTTTTCTGGTGGAATATCACTGTGGTGATATTCCTTAGAACTTTGCCAAGCAAGATGTGATAGAACTGCTTTTTTTAGTTGCACCTTTGACCGCCTTGTGGTGAGGTGGTTAGGCAGGATGTTTCTCACAGCCTGAACCCCCACGGAATGTTTCACTTTGACCAAGGCCTGCAAAATAACAAAGAGCTTACAAAATGGTGCAGTTTGCACTAACACAGATGACCCTAGCCATGCTCCTCTTCTTCTTCCCCATAGATCCCTACCCTATGATTCCACCTTGTTCTTCTCTGGCACAAAACCCTTTCTCAACCTGCATTCCTTCTCATAAAACACCCCTGGCTATCCAGTCTCTATCCTATTCACCCTAAATAATGACCTTCTGGCCTCTTCCTGTTTTCTTACCAGACACAGGAGACACCGAACAGAGTCTTAGACTCTGAACCAAACTCAAAAAGAACAAAAAAAATCAGAACAAACTTTAAAAAAGCAAAAAAAATCAGAACACCCAACAACATCAGTGTTTTACTACGGGAAGGATAAGAAAATAAATTCAAATCGAAAGAATGAACAACTTGACAACAACTCCATGGATCCAATCCAAGAGAAGAATCAAAATCCAACCAAATTGGAACCAGCTTCAGAGAAGGACAAAGACCTAGACATCCATGGAGAGAACTCCATGGATCCAATCCAAGAGAAGACTCAAAATCCAACCATATTGGAACCAGCTTCAGAGAAGGACAAAGACCTAGACATCCATGGAGAGAACTCCATGGATCCAATCCAAGAGAAGAATCAAAATCCAACTATATTGGTAGGAGCTTCTGAGAAGGACAAAGACTGAGACATCCATGGAGTTTTCTCCATGGATCCAATCCAAGAGGAGATGAATAAAAACCAAGACTCAGATAAAGAAACTTCACAGGAGGATGACTTAAAATCATGTGAAGAATACTCAGAGGAGGACGAAGACACAGAGTCTGAAAGATCTAAAGATAGAACATGGAAAAAGGATCTCAATTGATTGTTCATAGTCAGTTACAGATCGAACTCTTTGTTCTACTCTTTCCCCACTTCTCACCACTGTACTTGACTCGTCTGAAAAAAAAAAAAGAGAAAAATCATCAGCACTGATGATGACTAAAATAAAATCAAGTCTGAGCAGCTGATAACTGTGTATCTCTCTGCCTGTTTTCTGATGGTGGGGAGGAAGAAAAGAGAGAGGCAGGCATTTGGGAAGGGAGGGGTATAAGGTTTTGTAGGGTTGGTGGACAGACCCACAGGTTGAAAGTTAGCCAGACATTGCAAATAAGCACTAGGGGAGGACTGATTCCTGCAGACAAATTTTCTTCTTAAAATTTTATCTCACAGGAGAGGAAGAAAAGGACTTGGTGTTTCTTGGAGCATGTAAATGTGTAGAAGGGCATATAAAATGTTCTGTTTTGTATGTAGGTGACAGTGACACTCTTTCCCAAAGGAAGACATCAAAATCACCACCTCCAGGCCACATACATCATGGTGGTGTGAGTTGTAACTCACCCAATGCTGTGAGCAACTGAAGCCTCTCAAAAGGACCAAAAACCTCCACCCTACATAAAGTAAGACAGCACGCCATGCACCCTAAAATGATGGTGTTTGGAGGCCATGGTCCCAATACTAGCACATTTTCTTGTTAAGAAACTCCAGGCGGAGCAGTAGCTTACCAAATGTGGAACACTGGGAGTGGCCATTGTCTACTGCAGGCAATAAACGAAAGCATAGTCTACAGAGAATTTGAACACAACACAATCATACAAGTAATTTTTATTACCACCTCCATATACCAGCATTTCCATAGAATGTCAATGATTAAGAATTCTTCTGGCCGGGCGCGGTGGCTCACGCCTGTAATCCCAGCACTTTGGGAGGCCGAGGCGGGTGGATCACAAGGTCAAGAGATCGAGACCATCCTGGTCAACATGGTGAAACCCCGTCTCTACTAAAAATACAAAAAATTAGCTGGGCATGGTGGTGCGTGCCTGTAATCCCAGCTACTCGGGAGGCTGAGGCAGGAGAATTGCCTGAACCCCAGGAGGCAGAGGTTGCGGTGAGCCGAGATCGCGCCATTGCACTTCAGCCTGGGTAACAAGATCGAAACTCTGTCTCAAAAAAAAAAAGAATTCTTCCCCTGGGAAAAAAATACTGTGGTTTTGGCATCAAGTGTAGAGGGCTGAGGTATATTCCTTGGGTTAATTGCGCAAGACCTGCTCCTGTTTATTTACTCATTCACTCTCCTTTATTTCCATGGCCCAGTTTTATTCCTCTTGTCTACATTGGCAATCATTGTAATGCATTGATGTGCATCCTTTTCTCTGTATGAGTGTCAATATATGTTTCTTATTGTTTGTGGACATTAGTTTTCAATTTATGTATCCATCATCAATACTTAATGTTTCACTCAGCCCTGTTTTTAAGATGCATCTATGTATGTCTAATCTGTTCTTCCTTTGTAAATGGATATGTCAGGTACATTTTTGTATTTTCTAAATTTTAGGAAGATATTTTGATTTTTAATATTTGTACCCACCTTCTTGTCCATGTTTTAACTTATACCTTAGTATTACATTTTCTTTCAAGTGACTGTACATGGTATCATGTGTTTAACTTTGATTTCCACATGTTCAATGTTAGTATGTAGAATTGTGATGGATTTTTATTTTAAAGAAATTTTGTTGTGTATATTTGAGGTTTACAACATATTATGGAATACAGAAACTAAAATTGTTACTATGGTAAAGCAGATTAGCATATCTCCCTTCTCAGACTTTTAAGTGTGTGAAAATAGCAGCTAAAATCTTAACAAAAATTCATAAGACAATTTCCTGTAGACCCCCTGTACATTAGATCTCTATACTTGTTCATCCTACATATCTGCTGGTTTTTTTTGTTTTTTTTTTGTTGTTGTTTTTTTGTTTTTTTTTTTTTGAGACGGAGTTTCGCTCTTGTTACCCAGGCTGGAGTGCAATGGCACGATCTCGGCTCACCACAACCTCCGCCTCCTGGGTTCAGGCAATTCTCCTGCCTCAGCCGCCTGAGTAGCTGGGATTACAAGCACGCGCCACCATGCCCAGCTAATTTTTTGTAGTTTTAGTAGAGACGGGGTTTCACCATGTTGACCAGGATGGTCTCGATCTCTTGACCTCGTGATCCACCCGCCTCAGCCTCCCAAAGTGCTGGGATTACAAGCGTGAGCCACTGCGCCCGACCATATCTGCTGTTTTGTACCCTTCAACCTACATCTCCTCATTTCCCCTCCCACCTCCAATGTTTCATTCTCTACCTCAGTCTATTTGAGCCCCTAAGTTATACAGTCTACATATGAGATCATTGAATCTTTTTCTTTCTGTCTGGATTATTTAACTTAGTGTGGTGATCTCCAGGTTCATTCATGTTGTGGCAAATGTGAAGATCTCCTCTTTTTTAAGATTGAATAATATTTTGTTCTGTATAACTATATGTAACTATACCCCCCTGCCCCCCCATCACATTTTAAAATATATTCATCCACTGATGAGCATTTAAGTTGTTTCTATATCTTGGCTATTGTTAATAATGCTACAATGAATGTGACACTGCAGATATATTTTTTTGTTTAGACAGTGTCTAGCTCGATATGTCGCCAAGGCTGGAGTGCAGTGGTGTGATCTAGGCTCACTGCAACCTCTGCCTCCTGGGCTCAAGTGATTCTCCAGCCTCAGCCTCCAGAGTAGCTGGAACTACAAGCATGTGCCTCCACACCTGGCTAAGTTTTGTATTTTTAGTAGAGACAGGATTTCACCATATTGGTCAGGCTGGTTTTGAACTCCTGACCTGGTGATCCATCCACCTGGGCCTCCCAAAGTGCTGGGATTACAGGTGTGAACCACTGTGCCCAGCCAAGAGTGAAGATATCTTTATGAGGCTGTGATTTCATCTCCTCTGGGTATTTATACAGAAGAAGGATTGCTGTGTCATATGGTAGTCACTTTGTTTCTTTGAGATGGAGTTTCACTCTGTTGTCCAGGCTGGAGTGCAATGGCCTAATCTTGGCTCACTGCAACCTCCACCTCTCTGGTTCAGTGATTCTCCTGCATCAGCCTCCTGAGTAGCTGGGACTACAGGCACGTGCCACCACACATGGCTAATTTTTGTATTTTTACTAGAGATGAGTTTTCACTATGTTGGCCAGGCTGGTCTCAAACTCCTGACCTCAAGAGATATGCCTGTCTCAGCCTCCCAAAGTGCTGGGATTTCAGGCATGAGCCGCCATGCCTAGCAGCCAACTTTTTAATTTCTTTAGTAATCTCCGTACTGTTTTACATAATGGTTATGCCAGTCTACATTTCCACCAACAGTGTACTAGGGTTCTTTCTTCCCTACACCCTCATCAACATTTGCTATTTATTGTCTTTTTAATAACAGCATTCTTAATGAGTGTGAAGGGATACAGTGGTTTTAATAGGAATTTCTCTTATGATTAATTATATTGAATGCCTTTTAATATATCTGTTAGCATGTCAAAATACTATGGAGAAATACCAGAGTATCTTTTACTCAGTCTCCTCCAGTGATAAGATCTTGCAAAAGTATAGTACAACATCACAACCAGAAAATGGACATTAAATTCCAGATGTGGGTAATGGGGGGATGGAGGCAGCAAACCACCTTGCCATGTGTGTACCTATGCAACAATCCTGCGTGATCTGCACATGTACCCCAGAACCTAAAGTACAATAAAAAAAGAAAAAACAAAAAGAAAATGGACATTAATACACTCCATCAATTTCAGATTTCATCAGTTTTACATGTGTTCATCTGTGTGTGTGTGTGTGTGTGTGTGTGTGTTTTGTTATATTCAGTTTTATCATATGCCTAGATTCAAGGGACAACCACCATAATAATACAGAAGAGTTTCATCAACACAAAAGATCTCTCATGTTGCTTTTTGAAACTTGCCCCCAACCTTCCTCTCCAGTTCATAACCCCTAGTCACCACTATTCTCCACATATGTAATGTTGTCATTTTGAGAATGTTGTATAAGTGGAATCATTCATTATGTAACCTTTTGGAATCGGTGTGTTCGTCTGTTCTTGCATTGCTATAAAGAAATACCTGAAGCTGAGTAACTTATAAAGCAATAAAGTTTAATTGGCTGACAATTCTGTAGGCTGTACAGGAAGTGTGGTGCCAGGATCTGCTTCTGGTTAGGGTCTCAGGAAGCTTACAATTATGGCAGGCGAAGGGGAAGCAGACATGTCACATTGTGAGAGAAAGACCAAGAAAGAGAGAGAAGAGATGCCACACACTTTTAAAAAGCAGATCATGTCTGAACTCAGAGCACGAACTCACTCATCACATAAGAGATTCACCTTGGTAATCTAATCGCCTACCACCAGACCCCACCTCCAACATTGAGAATTACATTTCAAAATGAAATTTGAAGGGGACAAACATACAAACCATAATGGATTTTTTTTTTCACTCACCATAAGTCTCTAAGGATTCATCCTTGTTGTTGCATATATGAATGGTTTGTTTTATACTCCTGACTATGATATTCCATGGTATAAATGTACCACAGTTTGCCAAATCTTTCTGCCTGTTGAAGGACATCTGGCCTGTTTCTAGTTTTTGGTTGTTACAAATAAAGCCGTTATAATCATTCACACACACAGGATTTTGTGTGAACATAAGATTTCATTTCTGTGTAATAATTACCCAGATTATAGGTAGTATGGTAGTTGCTCTAGTTGGTTGTGTATGAAAATTCCAACCTTTCTAATGTGGGTGTATCATTTACATTCCCACCAGCAATGCATGCATGATCCAGTTTCTTTGCATCTGCATTAGCGTTTGGTTTTGTCACTTTTAAAAACTTAGCCTTTCTGGAAGGTGTGTACTGATAATCTAATTGTGATCTGAGTTTGCATTTGGCCAGGCATGGTGACAAGACACCTGTAATCCCAGCACTTTGGGAGGCCAAGGTGAGTGGATCGCTTGAGCCCAGGAGTTTGAGATGAGCCTGGGCAATGTGGCAAAACCCCATCTATGCGAAAAAACACAAAAATTAGCTGGACATCGTGGTGCACGCCTG